GGAGGAGGGAGGAGCGCTCTGCAGATGCTCAGAGGCACCCTTGGGCCGCCGAGATCCTCGGGGCTCCGGGGATCGTCCTGGAGGGAGAAGCGCTTGGGAGCGGAGTCCACCGCCGCGGAGAGGAAGGCGCCCCCCTTCCTTTTTCCTTTGCCTCCAGGCACCCGTGGAGCGGGGATTACAAATCCCATCATTCCCGGCTCCCTTGGGAGCAAGGCGCCGTCTGGCCATTCCTGCTCGTGGCCAGAGGTGGGCTGCATTTCCCTCCCACGGATCGCCCTCCTTGGGGTCTGCAGCCTCACCCGGGGGGGGGATGATGATGATGCCCCCCCCAACCCTTATACAGTTGGCACAGGAGGAGCCCTTGGAAGGGGATGTGGAGCCATCCCCGCTCAGACGGACAGGGATTTGTTAGTTAAACTTTGGTCTTTCCCCCACCCCTATTCCTTTTCCACTTCAATTTCATGGACACAATCAGAATGTAATTTTTCTGAGGCTCAGTTAGTAGACGGACTCGGATTGGTCCATTGGTCTTCAGGGGACTGCAGGATGCCCCCCCCAAACTTACATATAGCCCTAAGACAGGAGGTGGAGCCCAGCCACCTGACACTCTCCCCCCCACCCTCCATCATCATCATCATCATCATCATCATTCTAGATCTGCAGAGCTGGAAGGGACCCTCTAGAGATCATCCAGTCCAGCCCCTGTCCAAGGAGGACCAATGGGGGATTCGAACTCCCAACCTCTGGTTGGCATATATATCCCAACCTCTCCTTTTCATCCATGAAATGCCACTGGACCTGAACTAGATAGGAATTTCAAAACCAACACACATTTATTGAACATTTCCAGAACTCGGTCACAAACGGAATAGACACCAACCACTGGAACAAAATAAACATAACCCCTAACGCTGAACGTTTCTTTACGAGCGATCTTTTGTTACAATCAAAGGGAAATCAGAGCTCGTCTTTCTGAACCGCACTCCCCAGCGGCTTCTTCTTCTGGGGCCTTTCCTTCTTCTTTGCCATCCTCTGTTTCCTCCTCTTCTCTTCCTCAGTTTGCTGCTGATTCATCTTCTGCTCCGCCTCCTGCAAGATTGAAGAGAGAAAGCAGGAAGAGAACCGACATCAGTCGGTTGGTTCTCTGTTGCCTTTGGAAGCAAAACAGAAGGAAAAAAAAGTTTATGACCCCTGAAATATTGGCTTAATGAGAGGGTTCCTTCCAGCTCTACAGATCTAAAATGATGGCTGGTAGCTCAGTACAGTAGTTGAGGTCTCTGGCTGCAACTTCAGGAGACCTAGAGGCCAAATTTTCCCCTTTTGAGAGGAGATAGGATAATGATTTTCAAATCCTTGAAAGGTCATCTGACAGACAGGCAGGATCTGTTCTCCATCATCCCAGAGCACAGGGGGCATCATCATAGGTTGAAGGAAGCTAAATTTTGGCTGAAGATCCGGAAAAACGTCTTAATGGTTAGAGCAGTACGACAATGGGACCCATGATCTCGGGAGGCGGTGATGAGGGCTCCCATGCGGGCGGCAATCCAGAAACCAAACAGATCCGTCTGTTGGATCTGCTTGGGTTTGGGGTCCCTGCCTTGAGCAGGGGGTTAGACTGGATGGCCTTACAGGGCCTCCCTTCCAACACTGTGCTTCTCGGATCCTGGGAACCAAGTGAAGGACAGCCACGGTGGGAATGGCAATGCCTTGAAACACGCCCGGGGTACCTGAGTCTCCCTCCACATTTCCTCGCCAAAATCTTCTGCATAGTCTTCATCGTCTGTGATCAGGAAATTATCGAAAATGGTTCCGGATCTCACCTGCAGTTCGGAAAGAGAAAACAGCATCTTGACATAGTAAGAATGTGGAATCCCTGTGGGGGGATTGGTTCCATGGACAACACCCCCCCCCCGCAGATGCTGAAAAATGTAATTATAGCAAACGCGATGCATCACATGGTCTCTGGCGCTGTCTGGTGGCCAGCTCTGGTAACGCCCTCTTTAGAAATCTATATTTCTGGGATTTTCCTTTTCCTATTTTCAGACTTTCGATGACTCGATCAGAGGATACGGATCCCGCCGATGCAGGGGTCCTACTGTGCGCCTTGATGTGGAGGGGGCGGGCTGGAGAGTCGTGACCCATCGGCCCCATGGAGTCGAAGGAACGAGAAAACCGAACGCCACCAACCTGCCACAGGTCCAGCCCGAGGACGCCAATGTCTTTGTAGACAGAAAGGTTCACGTCGGGCTCGTATTCCGGGTTCGCAATTTGAGGATGGGGCCAAGCGCCTTTGTATTTGGGATTCGGGATTTTCCGGGGCCGCCACTCGCCCTGGAAGAAACCACGCGGGGTCAGAGGATGCTTCCCAAGGCCCCCCCCATCAAAGCCACCTGGCATCGAAAGGCCCCCTACTCTGTACAGTGGGTTTGGCAGGAGAGGCGGCTGCCAGTTGCCCTCCTTCGCTTCCTCCCAGCCTTTCGGTTTCTCGGCGCTCGTGTCCACAAGGAATTCTGGAATGTCCCAGTCCTTTTGCAGGAGAGTAGAGCCGGGAGGCGGGGGGAGGGGAGAGAGAGAGGGAGAACCGTTAAATTTAAATCCATTTTTAAAAAGTAGATGGGGGTGAGGGCAAAAGCAGCATGGGTCCAGAATAGGGCCAAAGAAGCGAAGGGAAGGAACGAAGATCCACATCTCTGCCTGATTCTGGCTGCGGGTCTGGGTTTGTTTCTATATCTAGATTCAAAGTATGGGTTTTGGCCTATAGAGCCTTGAAGGGTTCGGGACCCACAGGGTCTGCCCATAGTAACCCGTGACAACGGATTATGGCTAAAAGAAGGCAAAGGCGGATTTTGAAAAGGCATTTTTTGGGGGGGGGGAAATAAATGTTCTCCCTGTAACAGCGGCCCAAGAGTGGAACAAATGACCGGGGCAGAGAGAAATCTGACTCATGCTAGAAATCTTCAACCTCCGGCTTCCATCGGCATTTCTCAGAGAGGGTTCTGCCTTTGGTGTCCCTTCTCCCCAGCAGGCACTGAATGGTTTCGCCGGCCACCTCCGACTCCAGGAAACCCAAGGACACGGTTTATCCTCAGCTCACCTCCGGCTTCTGGTCTTCCGGATCATCCACCTCCTCCTCCTCCTCCCAGTCCTCGGGCTTTTCCACGGCCGGGTCGTCGATGGTCCTCGGGGGCAGCAGATCCCAATCCTCCTCCAAGAAGCCCGATGCCACCACTCGGTTGTCGATCTTCACCTTATACGTGTGGTCTGGGTTTAACACCAAGGTGTACAAATGTGTGAAACCGTCCACCTGGGCCAAAGCGGGGAAGGGGAGAGAGAGAGGCCGTCGGGTGTCGTCATCGCAGACGTGGACAAAAGACCTTCCAGGAGGGAAGGAGGGATATGCCCCCTATCTACTATGGGGCGGCACAGAAGCACTAGAGTTTGCTCTGCTCCCCGGGAGGAACCCAAGGACAACACTAGGACTTCTGTACCCATGGGATCGGGACCCGCAAATGGACTTATCCGGGGTCTGAAAAAATGAAACTTATTCAAAGAAAAATCCTAGAAATATCAGGGGACCCGCCTATCCACAGAATCCATATCCACTGATCTACTTATCCGCCACCTGAAAACATTAAAAGAAAAATCATTCAAATATACATTTCTAAAGATGAAGTTACCAGAACTGGCTACTCGGGAGGGGGGGCTCGGGACCGATCACCTGCAAGAGACAGGGGTCCTACCGCCAAGGTTTCCCAGCACTTACGATGCAGCGAATCGGCTTCTTGATGGGATGAAATTTGTTCTTGTAGTTCAAAATGGCGTGGACTTTCTTTGTATCAGAACTGCATATATCAGGCCCTGAAAGACAGAACGGTCAGCTTTTCCTGTCCCGAGGAATGCTTTCAAACACTTTCGGACCAGGTTTATCGTTTGGTAAGTTAAAATGTAAATTTTCCTACTCTCTCCGGCAGCCCTACACAAAACAAAACAAAAGAATGAAGAAGCCCCATCCAGTTCTGGTCCCGATCAAATCACAGGCCAAGATCTGCAGCTGCATATTTTTATTAGACCCATGGAAGGAAAGACAAGCCCTCTCTGTTTTTCAGTGGTTTAACAATTGCATATCTGATAATGAGTACAATCTCCAAATATGCCTTAGAGACTTATTTACACTCCAGAATGTACCGTAAGACCATTGTATCCGCTCGAGATTGGTTCCAAGCATCCCGTGGATTCTTTAAAAAGCAGATTATACATAGTGAACACTCTTTAACAGTGATTGTTATACACAGCATGGTTTCTGGCTTCCTCTAGTGGCCAGTTCTGGGAACTTTGTCATAAGAAACATATAATTCTGAGACTTTTTCTTGTAATAGAAAAATGACGTGCCTTGAGTTATCTCCAGTTAAATCAGCTCACCAAACATGACATAGTATGGAGATTCGCCACTCATGTTTTTTTGATCGAGGCTGGAAGGGAAGATTTTCACATATCCACCACCGCAGTCGATCCTCTGCTCGTGTTTCACCGTATACTGAATCACTAAAGGTCTCCCTTCATTGCTGAAGGGTTTAAATCGTGATGAGATGGCGTAGAACTTAAGATCCTCACTGGTCTGGAGACCTAGGAGACAGATCACACGGTGTGAAACCGTTTTGGACGCCTGAACCAAAACTGCGGTGCATTTTGTTAATTAAAAACAAGAACTACTTTAAAAAAAAACAAAGAAAGACACTAGGATTTATTAAAAGGAATCATAAAGTACAGTAGCAATGTTGTCTCCATGGGGGATCGGCTCTAAGCCCCTCTGCGGACGCTGAAAAATGTGGATTACAGCAAACGCTATACATGGCATGGTCTCTGGCTCCCTCTAGAGCCTACTCCTGATAAATACACCATGGAAATGTAAATAGGGGGTTCTGTGTTGTTTTTTACTGCATTCAGGCCCTGGATCCGTTTCAGTCGGGCTTCAGGCCACGGCACGGTATGGAGATGCCATTTATCGCCCTGTACGATGACCTGTTGAGGGAGGCTGACGGGTAAAACATCTCTGTTGGTCCTCCTCGACATCTCGGCGGCCTTTGATACCGTCGACCACGGTATCCTCCTGGGGAGACTCTCCGAGGTGGGAATTGGTGGCTTGGTATTAGATTGGCTCCGTTCCTTCCTGGAGGACAGTCCCCAGAGAGTACAGCTTGGGGAGAGTATTTCGGCCCCGTGGAGTCTGAATTGTGGGATTCCACTGGGGTCGATTATCTCCCCAATGCTGTTTAACATCTATATGAGGCCGCTGGGTGGGGTCATCAGGGGATGTGGGGCATCGTGTCATCAGTATGCTGATGACACCCAGCTCTATATCTCCTTTCTTCCAACTGCAGGTGATGCCGTCCTGTCCCTTCAGCGCTGCCTGTGGGCCGTACTGCAATGGATGCAGGAAAATGGGCTGAACCCAGACGAGACGGAGGTTCTGAGGGTGGGTGCCCCCAGGGTTGGCGGGCTGAGTGACTCCCTCTCATTGGGGGGGGCGACCCTTGCCGCAAAGAGTGGGGTACGCAGTCTGGGGATCCATTTGGACCCGGCGCTCACCATGGAGACTCAGGTGGCGTCCATGGTCCGCACCGCCTTTTTCCACCTTTGGCGGATAGCCCGGCTGCGACCCTATCTCGATGTGGGGGCGCTCACCACCTTGGTCCATGCGCTTGTAATGTCGAGATTAGACCACTATAACGCGATCTACGTGGGGCTCGCCTTTGAAGTTGACGCGGAAACTTCAAGTGGTGCAGAATGCGGCGGCCAGACTCCTTAGCAGAGTGAGAAAACACCACCATATTTCTCCCATTCTGGCCGTGCTGCATTGGCTGCTCATTCGATTCGGCGTTGACTTTAAAGTTTTGATGCTTACCTACAAAGCCCTAAACGGTTTAGGTTCTTGATACTTGGCGGAACGCTTACTCCCACCTAGTTCTACCCGTGTCAGACATGCGAGTCAGGAGGTGAGGCTGAGGAGCCTGACGCCGAGGGAGGCCTGGAAGGAAAAAACAAGAAACCGGGCCTTCTCGGCGGTGGCTCCTCGCCTCTGGAACCATCTGCCTCCGGAAATTCGCTCGGCTCCCTCGCTGGGTACTTTTAAAAATCAGTTAAAAACTTGAATGTTTAGGCAGGCCTCCCCCCCAGTTAATTCCCGATTTTCTTCCCCCTTATTTTCTTATTTGATTTATATTATATGCTTTCCATCTTGCTGAATTGTGTAATTGTGCTATAAATTTTTATATTTGTGTGGTACTTCATGTTGTAAGGCGCCTAGAGTGGTTGAAATAACCAGATAGGTGGGGTATAAATAGATTAAATAAATAAATAAATACATACATACATACATAAATACATAAGTACATAAATAAATACATAAATAAATAAGGGACTCAGTGGATTCATAAGGGGTCTTAGGGCAGAAAAATGACAGCACCTATAATTGTTTAAAATGTAGCTTGCAATGCTTTGCATTTTAGACCCTGGCCTTATAAAGGGGGGAATCGCTTTTCCCTCTTAACCACATGGCTTCTCTTTGGGCCCTGTCTGCGCTTCAGCTGATGACTGTGTTCCTCTGATGCGCCGAATGAATGAGCAGCTGGCACTTCCACCTCTTTGCTGGCGGCTTCCCCATGTTTGCACAGCTATCAGTTTTTTTCAGGGCCTTCCCAGAGGTTTGGACGCAAACCATTAGGCCTCGAAGAGGTAAAAATTCCACAAAATTTTCATTTTGCTTTTCCAGGAACAAAGACACCCATATTCATTTCCATTTTTTTTCTGGAATAAAATTGACATTTTCTGATATTTTACATCTCTAGAAAAGGCCTTATGTTGGCAAGGGGCTTTTGGGGGGGCGCTCCACCCCAGAACGTCTCCCCAAAGAAGCCCCAGGTGTTTCCATTTGGCCTCTGCGTTGAAAGGTCTTCCCTCCCTGATCCTGACTAGAAAGAACTGGGACTGGGGCATCAGCTGCATCTCAGAGACGATGTCCAAACCTTTGTCTAAGTCACGGTCGCTGTAAAGCTTCCCGGTGGCCAGTCTGAACGTCCCATAGTCGGACCGGTGATGGGACGGCACCCACCGCGCCTGCCACTTGCCTGTGAGAGAATGAGAAAAAGCAGGGTCACCCGACAGAACGACCTCCCGGGGCTGCTCCCAGACTCCCGAAACAGATTTCCTAGTTGGAGGAAGCTTCCTCACCGCCACCACCAAGAGCCTCTCCCTGGCATCGGGGCAGGCAGGGGATGGGTGGGTTCTGGTATGCCATCTTGGGGGGAAGGATGCTGGCATACAAATAACGTATGGAGACCCCAAACCAGTCTATTGGCTCTGCAGACACAGAGCAAACCCAGTATCCAGGTTTCAAACCCGCCCTGTGGGTGCTGAAAAACGCGGATGAGAGCAAATGCTGTTTTAATAGCTCGCGCCACCCATCGCCTGGTCTCTGCCCCCTCTAGTGGCCAGTTCGGGTAAGATCCCCTTTTTAAAAATGTATAGATTTCAAAGATTTACAGTACAGTAGTTTCAAGGCTTCTAATCCTTTATTTCGATAAGAGGGACCGTCAGCATTATTTGAATTTTTTTTAATCGTTCTAGATCTCGGACAAGTTGTTCCGCGGATACTGATCCCGCGGACACGACTTCCGTTGTCTTTTTAAGGGGTCCTTTTAAACGACGACGCCCGCGGATAAATGAATGCGCGGATAACTAATCCGGGGTTTATGATGACTTCAGGGCCGTCTGAGGGAGGAGA